GCACGCACACACACACATAGTCACACACAGTCACACAGACACACAAACACCATCATGGAATTACCTTAGGACTGGCAACTCAACTCCTAGATATAACCACCAGAATTGGACAGTTGAAAACAATGTCTTTTTACACAAATGCCCATAGCAGCACATTCACAGTAGCCAAAAATGGAAAATCCTAAATGTATGAACAGATGAATGGGTAAATAAAATCTGGCATAGTTATGCAATGGACTATTATCTAGCCATAAAAAGGAATAAAGCACTGATCCATGCCATGACACAGATAAACCTTGAAAACAATATGCTAAGAGAAAGAGGGCGGAAACAAAAGGCCACTTATTGTATGTTTCCATTATATGAAATGTCCAGAGGGGGCAAATCCACAGAGACGGTGAATTAGTGGTTGCCAAGAATTGTGGCAAAGAGAGAGGGGAGGCATGTGTGTGTGTGTGTGTGTGTGTGTGTGTGTGTGTGCTATTTTTACTGAGAATTGAACCCAAAGCCTTCACATTTAACTACAACCTTAGCCCTTTTAAATTTTTTTTATCAAGACAGGATCTCACTAAATAACCAAGTTGCCTGGGCTGGGCTCAAACTTGGCATCCTCCTGCCTCAGCCTCCCATTTGTCTATATTTGTCTAGCATGTGTGAGGCCCTGGGATTGATCCCCAACACTGAAAAAAAAAGGAAGATTACTTCAGCCTGGCAAGGCAGTACATGCCTGTAACACTAGCACCGGGGAAGCTGAGGTAGGCAGATCATGTGTTTGAGATCAGCCTGGGCAATTTAGCAAAAGTCTGTCTCAAAAAGAAGTAAAAAATAGTTACTTATAGATTGGTAATATCCAGTCCTGCTGGTGTACGTTATAAATATATTCTCCCAGTTTTTCAGTTGTTTTTAACTCTCTGTGTCAAAAAATGTGTGCCATGCAAAATTCTTTTATTTTTAATGTAGTTAAATTTATCAGTCTTTTACTGCTTCTGAATTCTGAATCATAATTAGCAAGTCTTTCCCAACATCAAAGAAAAATGTATCTATCATTTCTTCCAGTCCTTGCATGGTGCTGTGAAGTGAGTATGTCTTCCCTGGCTAAGGAAGGAGGATTACAAGGCCAGCTGGACTAAAAAAACAAACAAATAAGTTGCATCTATATTGAAAGATTTTTTTCTTGTCATTATCCTCTAAAGAATATATAGTACTTTTGGTGTTCTCCTTGTAAAAAAAAAAGAAAAAGAAAAAGATATAGTGTAACAAATATGTAGTTAACATAGCAGTTACTTTGTATTGGGTACATAATCTAGAAAGAATACATAGTACACTGAGAGCGTGGATAGGTTCTATGAAAGACTGCATCACTTTATTGAAGGGACTCAAGCATCACTGTATTTTGGTATCTAAGGGAGTCCTGGAGCTAATACTTGGTGTGGATGCCAAAGCACAAATAGATTTGGAGGTGAGGCCTTTGGGAGTTGACGGGGTGATGAAGGTGGAGCCTTTATGAGTGGAATTAGTGCCCTTAGTAGGAAAGGCCAGAGAGCTCCCTTGCTCTTTCAGGCCTATGAGGGTACAAGAAAAAACCAGCACTCTACAACCTGGAAGGTGGCCCTCCCCAGAGCTCAACCGTGCTGGGGTCCTGACCTGAGATTTCCAGCCTCCGGAAATGGAAGAAATAAATTTGTTATTTTTAAATCACGCAGTTTACACTATTTTGTTATAGCAGCCTGAGCTAAGACATATGAGGGGTTTCTTTATATTTAGATTCTTAGTCCATATAGTTTCTTCTTCTGTTGGGTGTAGCATATGAGTCCTTTTTTTTTTTTTTCCTGCACTGGGAATTAAACCCAGGGCCTTTGTGCTGAGCTACAACCTCAACCCTGTTTAAAAATTTTTATGTTTTAAATTTTGAGACAAGGTCTTGCTAAGTAACTAAATTCCCCAGGGTGGTGTTTAATTTACTGTTCCTCCTGTCTCAGCTTCCTGAGTAGTTGGGATTACAGGTGCCATTACATCTGGCTCTGGTTAGTTTTTACTTTTTTATTTCCTGAGTGGGGCCTTGGGCATGCTAGGGAAGCATCCCACCACCCGAGCCACATCTGCAGTTCTGGATGGCTTGTAATATGGAAGATAGTAATGACATATAAGCAGCGTTTCAGAGAAGGGAATTTTGAACAACTCAAAGGTTTGTTTTTGTTCCTCACAATTCCTTTCCCACGATATCTGCTCTGCCCTTTCCCCACCACTAGGGGAGCACTAGCAACCCCTCCTAAGTGGCAGTTCTATGTGACTGCCTGGACCTCTCCCCTTGCAAGAGACAGTATTCTGTCTTTAGGCAGCAGTAGGCTGTTGGGTAAAGGGTCTTACAGAGCCAGAGCCAGGAAGAAGGTGAATCTGCTCTGGGTGACAACAGAGCCTCCCAAGTAGAAGGAAAAGGCTGTCCTGGGAGGAAATGAGTTCCCAGTTGTAGAAGTACAAGCAAAGGTTGGCCAGCCTGTAAAGCAGCCTGCAGAGGTGGTCTTTCCTTAGAGCCCAGGGAAGTAGGAGAGGGGCGGGGCACAGAGCGGATGATGTCCTGGGTAGCTCTGGAGCTAGTTCTGTGGTTTACTAATTGTGTGACCTGGGGCATCTCCCTGAGGCTCAGTTCTGTCATCTACAAAATGGGGCTAATAAAGGCTCCTGCACTGGGTGGTTGATTAAATGGGAAAGCACCTACACATCAGGCCCTTTACTGGCACCATTACATGACTAAGCTTATAAAAACCAACCAGCAGGGTCTTGGAGCCAGAGTACCATCAGGACTCCACCCCTTCCTCAAACTTGTTGGGCAGGCACGGCTTTTCCTGGTGTATCCTGAGACCTTTCCCCCCAGGAGCAAAGACACACACACATACACACACACACACACACACACACACACACACACACCACGGCCGGCTGAGTGCCCAGGATAGGTCACTCTCTCTAGGACTCTGGTGTCATCGTTCTGAGCTGACACAGGCTCTGAGGTGCGCAGTCCTAACATTGCAGAATGCCATGTCTACATGTCTGTGTTTCTGTCTTTACAACATGAGGGGTTTGGGCCAGACTGAAACATCCAGGGGCCCTTGTAAGGGCTCACAGTGGATCAATCCAGTCAGTCCCCACAACCGCAGGGATACGTGCTACTCTGCTGGCTCTACAGCAGGTTTGGGGCCCTTTCCAAGGTTCCCAAGCTAATGAGGCGAGGCAGAGTCCGTGCTTTCAACCACCTCACAATACTCCTCTTGCAGCTGCAAGGTGCTGAGATACAAAAGGGGGCTGAGCATCCTTGGAAACCCCGTGTTTTGTGCTGAGACAGACCAAACTGGCTTTCTCAGATGTGACCCCAGCTGCACCTTGGAACGAGAGGGAGTTGCCTAGCTCAGAGGCCATGCTGCCATCTGTCCTATGATGAGCCCTGTACTGAGCCGGTGCCTTGCTTATACCTGTCATCATGAACTTCTGCTACACGCCTACTTAACAGACCGGGAAGATGAGGCTGGGAGAGGACCCGGAACTTGCCTAGCTCATACAGCAAGTAACTGGCTGCGTGAAGACTGGAGCCTAGATATACTTGGGTTGACCAAGAACTGCTGTGCGCCTGAGAATGGGCTCAGCCTTGCCCTTCATGAGCTGGGGCTCTTTGGGGAAACGGAGAGCTGGACAGAGGCAGCGTGCTTGGAGGGCCCGTGGGGAGGGTGGGGAAGCTGAAGGGAGGAAACGGGTTTTTGTGGAGTTGGCATGAGGGGCAGGACTGACCATGTGTGGACAGATGGAAGAGCCTTTCCTGGTAAACATGATTTGGGGACGAAGAGAACAGACCCCCAAGATGAGCACCCAGGGGCTGGCCAGGCGCCGTTGCGCACAGGCAGAGGGAAGAGGCTAGAGGAAATGGGGGAGGGGGCGCGTGCAGTCTCGGAACACTGCTCCTGGGTGTAGGTCGCGGCTGCATGTGTGAAAATGCTCCTTAGCTGGACAGGTGGCTCTCGGCAGGAAGCCTGGGGGAATGTTAAACTTAGGGGACACTGGGGCTGCCAGAGACGGAGGGGTGAGAAGGAAAGGGCAGAGGTGGGAGAAGTGTGGATGACTGGAAGGTGGATGAAACCCTTAACCAAGACTGTGAAATTGGGGGAGTGGGCAGAGTCCGTGTCTCCCCAGCAAGGTGGGCGGAGGGCAGCCTGCAAGATCGGGTGACTAATCACAGGCCCTGCTGTCTCAAAGGCGCAGACAGGACGCTCACCCCAGGTCTACTGTGCGCCAGCTTGGTCAGCCATAAACTCTATCAGTTCCCCAAATAGCCCTGCGTGGGTGAGGATTACAGTTCCCATTCTACACATTAAGAAATCGAGGTTTGGTGCCTTCCAGGGCATTCTGGAAGCCAGTCGCGGCGCAAGGACCCCGGCCGCTTCTGCTGCCGTCTAGTCACGCGTGGCATCCCTAAGTGCTCGGGACAGGCGGGGGAAGTCAGCTTTCCACATCTGACAACGCGCTCTCTCAGTCTCACGAGGTGGGCCTGAGTTCCCGCTCCTCCACCCAAAAACTTGGGGGTGGATGAGGAGATGGAGACCGGCAAGGCAGGGCGCTCACTTTTTTCGAGGCCACCCTGCCTTGGCTCCACTCCCAGAGACACCCGGCTTCCTCGATAAGCCCCCCGCGGGGCTGGCAGGTCCGCGCGGGGCCGATCCCGTGCTGTGTGCAGCCGGCCCTCGGGTGGCCGCCGGGCTGGCTC